CGCCATCACCCGCGCACCTGCAGCGTGAGGCTGGCCAGTCGCTGGCTGTTGCTGTGGTCCGTGTTGCCCATGGCAGCCATTAAGCTGCGCACCACGTGCAGGTGCAGCATCTCCTGGGCGATGCTCATGCTGCCGCGCGCCAGGACCCTGCGTGGGGACGCCAGGCAGCCGCCGCCCTCATCTCTCCGGTGCCCTCTCTGCCCCGCCCAGTCACGCGTGCCCCCATCGCTTACCCAATGGCTTTGGCGGCCGCTGCTTGCTGCAGGAACACGGGCAGGTGGACGGTGAGCGGCAGGAACGGGGACTCTGGGGGAGCGAGTGGCCGAGAGTGAGGAAGGAGCCCCCACCCCCACCAGGAAGCCCCTGGGGAGGGTCCTACCAGTGAGGATCTTGGGGTGCTGTTGGGAGGCCTCCTTCACGGATGGGATCAGCAGTGCCACTAGGCCCTTCAGCAGCGGCAAGCGCACATCGTAGTCTACCAGGTCCTTTATGAGCTCGATGGCTGGGGAAGAGCAGAGACCCCAAGAAGCTGGAGGGGACAAAGAGCCTCCTGAACTTCGCCACTTCCTGTACTCTGTCCCCTCCTTTGGTCCTTCCTAGTGCCTTGGAGCCCCACACTGTGCAAGGCATGGGGGAGTGGGAAGGGGACACCCACCCAGTTCCTGCCCTCCTGGAGTTTGTGGTTAAAGAGGATGTGGAGAGCTGGGGGTGTAATCCCAGAACTCTGGGGGTCTGAGGCAGGAGGGCTGTGAGATCCAGGCTAGCCTAGGCAACTTTGTGACTTAGGGAGACCCCATCTCCCAACAGAAACTAAGCAAGGGCTGGGGGTTTACCTCTGAGTGAAGGCCTTGGGTTCAATCCCTAGGACTGCAAAACTGGGGGTGGGTGTGTGAGATTAGAGATGCCACGGCTCACAGAACTGGCTCAAGGGGGAAAAAGAAGCATTGGATGGGAGCCCACCCAGCAGAAGTCCTGCAGGAGGTCAGAGCTGCAGACAAGCCATACAGGTATGGTTTGCTTTCAGCTTGGAGGAATCCAGTTTTTATGGAGGAAGAGGAAAGGAAAATATGTTTTGTTGTTTTCTTCAGGATCTCCTTATGTTGCCCAGGGTGGGCTTGAACACAGGCAGGTGCTGCTGTGGACAGTTGGGCTGGGTCCTTAAAGGGGGACAGGATGGGAAAGATCGAGGGGGTGGGGGAGCAGGTGAGTGGGTGGGAGAATAGCAGCAAATGAGAAGCCACAGGAAGCAAGTAAGAGGCTTGTGGACTGCCCATGAGGAGCCCTTCGTTGACAGGCAGGTGCTGGGGCCTTCACACAGTACCCCACTGTACTGGATCATCAGCACTTAACATGTGACCATGACTCCCATTTTTGCATTTGAGGAAAGGAGGAGCACAGAGGTTAAGCATTTTGCCTATGTCACAGCTAGGAAGCAGTGGACACAGAAGGAGGGAAAGATTTGATCAGGAAGGCAGGGATGGAATTTACGGAGGGGTGCGGCCCACAGGACTTTCCTGTAGAAACCTTCCAGGTACTTGTTCATTCCGTTGTCATTCACTCAGTGTTTTGCAGACCTGCATTTAAGTGCCATGTGTTGCAGGGTGTTGGGGACAGCAGGGTGAATTCATTCATCCAACCGTCCTAGAGCATGAACAGATGCGCAGTGACAACATGGTGACAAGTGCTATAAAAGGGGTCCAGTGGAGGGGCTGTGGGAACATCTGGGAAGACTTTTTATAAGGAGGAGAAAGGAAGCACAGAGAGGCAGAGCTAGAAGGGGCAGGGTGAAGTGTCAAGGCCTTGTTTTGCTCACCAACATAAATATGACTCAACCCAAGTGCTTGCTGCATGGATAGCAGGTCTAGGACACACACTGACCTGCTCAGGAGTCAAGTGCAGCCTAGATCTCCCTGTTTATCCCTAGAGGAGACAGGATTTAGGGAAAGCTCTTGGCTCACTGTCCCAGCTTTATTGCCAGTATTATGTTTACATAATGATACTTAATCTTCTACTTTCTGGTCAGGGGACTTTATTCATCCACTAGAAGCATGTTTGGGAGTTATTTACAATGGCATAGTGCCTGCTTGAGCAGCAGATACAGAGTGGAAGAAAAAATTTCACAGGCAGATGCAAAGGCACCTCAAGGGCTGGTGGACTAGCTAGGATCTGGCAAGACAGGTGTGACAATTCGAGGCCAGCCTGGGCCACATAATGAGCTCCAGGCCAGTCTGAGCTATATAGTCATAGTGAGACCCTGTCTCAAAAACAAAACAAAACAAAACACATTGAAAGGGGGCAATTTGTGAGTTGGCCAATTGTTATGATTTAGATCTAGAATGTCTCCCAAAAGTCTCATTTGTTCAAAGGTGGGGCGTCTGGGTGACTGGATCATGAGGGCTCTATACTCAATGACTGATCCATTGATGAACTCATAGCTGATTGTGCTCTTAGGAGGTGGGGCCTGACTCAAAGAGGTGGGTCACAGCAGGCCTGGCTATCTCTCTCCCTGTCACCTCCCTTTATCTCTGCTTTCCTGGCTGCCATGCAGTGAGCAGCTCCCCTCCACCATGCCCTTTCTGGTTTGGAGACACCCAGACATGGACTGACTCCCCTAAAACTATGAGCCAACAGCGTGTTCTGCTCTTGTTTGATTATGAGACATAGTCTTCACTCTTCTTGGATTAGTGCAGCTCATGTTTTGGATCTGAGTGGTTTGTTTCTCCTTGTATCAGGCTATACTTGGCACCTTCAGCTGCAGCACGTCACTCACTAGCCACTGGGCTCTTTCCTGTCACAACCTGGCAGCTCCTGAGTGTGCAGCTACCAAGAAGAGGTCTGCCTGTCCCTAAGAGAAATCTTCCTGTTGCAAGAAAAGAGTTGGTCAATCTTTTAGGTAGAAGTGTGTGTTTGTTTATTTATTGGTCTTTTCTACCGGGGATCGAACTCAGGACAGTGCGCTCGTGAGGCAGGTGCAGTGACACTGAACCCTGGCTCTGTTCTAGGTAGAAATGTAAGGATGAATTTTCCCTGATCACAAATAGCATTTCCTATCCTTGTAAAACCAAGTATTCTAGGTTTCTCCCTACTAATTAATTATGCTTGATCCTTCATTAATTACATATCTGCAACATTTGTAGCTCTTTAGAAAAATGAAGATTTATTCACTGAATCATTGCTGATTGAATTTTAAAATTCACAGCTGCCACTGTTGATGCCCAAAGCAAAAGTTCTGGTCCCTGCCCAAATGTCTCTGCAAGAACCACAGCCATGCTTCCTACACTGTGCAAGTTGCTAAGCATGGCAGATTCATTCAGAAAGCAAGGGCCGAGAGACTCGTCTTTGGCAGGTTTGTTCAAAGCTTTGGTGCTGATAATGCCTGGCTCTCTCTGAAGCCATCACCGACTTCTTCACTGGTCCATCCATTTATCCAGTGATATATTAACTCAGCAGATGCTTGTGCTAGGGCTGCCTAAGATAAAATCCCTGCCCCTATCATGGCCCAATGGGAGACACCACTAAGGACACTGGCACTCATGACCAGCATTGTAAGAGCTATGGGCATACAAGGAAGCCAAGCAGGTTGATGTGGTGGAGGTGGGGAAACCAGGAGGTTTCCTTAGAGAAGGTGATATCTGAGTTGACAAAACCCAGGGAAGAGAGGGCCTGGGATGTGGTGACTGCCAGGCTGGACTGCACTGTGTCACATTTGTGGCCACGCAAGCAAGGGAGGTCTGCCTGGACGTGGACGTAAGGGTCAGGTCACGAAGTGAGAGAACTAAGCCCTTGGAGAGAAGCCAGCCCCAGACACAGCCACCTAACAGGCGTTTTCTCATTTTTCATTTTAGAGGACACTAAAACTCAAAAAGGTTTAGTAGTTGGCTCAAGATCAAAGAGCTAGTAAGAAGGACTCTGGGCTGGGGTGTGGCTCAGAGGGAGCATGCTTGCCTCGCAGGTGAAAGTCCTAGGTTTGATCCCCAGCCCTGAAAAAAAAAAAAACCAAACAAAAAAAACCCCAAAAACCCAAACTGATTCCAAAGGCCATTTTCAAATAAGCTCTACTGCCTCCATCCCAGAGGTAGCCTAGGAAAACAGACTGTGTGGACACCACACTGGAGAGATGGAGATTAGTTTAGAGGCCAGAGCAGGTGACCATCCAAAGGGAGACATACAGAAGGCAGGGGCAATGCAGGTCTGGAGTTCAGGATAGTAGAGAAGTCACTCAGCCACTGTCCTTCATCCAAAAAATAAAAACCTATCTCAAAATAATAAAGACATGCTGGCACATGCCTGTAATCCCAGCACTTTGGAGGCTAAGGAAGGATGATTGCCTTGAGTTTGAGGCCAGCCTGGGCTACATAATTATGTAATGAGTTCAAGATCAGCCTGAACTGCATAGTGAGACCTGTCTCGAAAAACCAAAAACCAAAAACCAAACCAATCCAAAACAAAAAAGGGCTGGATGTGTATGGATGTGTAAATCAGTGTGAAGTCCCTAGATTTAATTCCAGTAATACACACACACACACACACACACACACAAGAAACAAAGAGCAGTACCTAGCATATAGCACACACCTTATAAAGGCTGGTACTATTGTTTGTATCGTTATGGGTGTTGATTAAAACTGTGGGAGTAGATAAAGTACCAAAGACAGCAAAGAGATGAGAAGGGACTGGGATTGAATACTGAGAGAAAAAAAATGGCACTGAAGGGATTGGTGGAGGAATACTATATTAGTCAGTTTTCCTGTTGCTGGGACACAAAACCCAACACCTACAACCTGGAGGAGGAGAGGTCTAACTGGGCTCACAGTTCCAGGAGATGAAGTCCATGGCTTGTGGGTTCCAAAGCAGAAACATCACGGTGGAAGGTGTGGCAGAGCAGAGACGTTTCGTTCATGGTGGCAGAAAGCAGAGCAGGCAAACAGTGCCAGAAGGGCCATTGCCTCCAAGGCTCACGGGACACGCCCAGGGGTGTGCTTTCCTAACCCCAAGGCCGCTCCTAAGCCGTCCAGGTGACAATTGAGTTTAAGGTTCACAGATGAGAATGTACAAAAGATTGAGCAGCAGTTTCACAGATGTAGAAGGAAGGCAGGAGAGCCCAGCACTGGGGAAGGAAAAGGCAAGCATTCAAGGAGGAGGAGATCAAGAGGGTTGGAGCATTTGAGAATTCCTGTTATCATGGAGCTGAGAAGTACTCCGTGGGGCCCCTCTGAGGGGTCTTGACTGCGCATGCACTGGGTACCGTGCTGGTAGCGAGGAAATGGTGCACAAAACAGATACAAGGCTACAGGGATTCTTGCATGCCGGTATCTACTGCAGTCCAGGCACAGCAGCCATAATAACTCATTATGGAGTCAGCCTACCTGCCTGTCAACACATGATGGATAAAGAAAATGTGGTCTATAGAAAACAGCCTACTGTGCTATCCAGCCATAAAGAACAAAATAATGTCATTTTTAGGCAAAGGGATGGAACTAGAGATCATGGTTTTAAGTGAAGAAGCCAGACTCAGAAAGATGAATATTT